GTACTTTGAAAACATCCATTTCATGCTACATTTATGTAATAATTCTACTCAGTTATATTTTAAGGGGCAATGGTACTTTGTACTTATCTATATTTACCTTTATCACTGTAGCTACTAGTTAATGTGCAGATAAAGTTTTGCATGCAGACCATACAAAGAGGTTATAAAATATGTTTTTTTTTTTAGATATCCTGTTGTACACAATACAGTAAAACTCCAATACGCCACTGAAAGCAACAGAGTCTACAGCTGTTTAGTGAAATTACTAAGCTTCCTATTATATGAAACTTTGCTTATGAAAGCTGTTTTACAAGACGCATTGGTCTATTTCTAGTCGGTACTTGGGACTGAGAGCCACAGACAGGCTGAGTTAAGTCATTGTTGGTTTGGATCTTTCTACATTGGCCATTTCCTCTTACACTGTCTTTGTGTTGCATCATGAAAACCCTTTCAGTTTACACCCTGCTTATTTCTGTTTGATGAAATCAATCCTTAAGCATCAGTTTGTAATTTTGTGCTATTGTGATTCTCTGTTCTGGCTGTTTTTCTGCCCCTTTTCAGGTTCGGTATTGCAGTGTTCAAAGCCCCAGTGCAACAACATTACTGCCACCTGTGCCTGCAAGTAAGAGGCACAATATAACAAAGTGGCGTGTCACGTAATAGCAAGGTGAGGCCGTGGAGCCGCTGATAATTTCATGATGGGGGAGCTATTGTATTGCAGCTGCAGAGAGGAGGGGGGGAAAGAGAGAGTGACTCTAGACTGGATGTTTGGCAGGCTTGGCACCTCGCAGCAGCTCTGAACCAGCTGGCATCCACGGATAGACAGAAGGGAAGATGGAGAGAGACAGGAAGGAAGACAGGGAGGGATGCAAGTAGCATGACGGCTATGAGACAGATGAAGAGGTGGAGAAAGAATGAGACAAGGTTAGGATGGATGAAAAGGAAGCAAAGAAGGGAAGACAGTCTGCACACACACATAGAACGGCCATGAAATGTAATATCTGGCTTTCCAGAGCCGCCCCATCATCTCTGCCTCTCCCTCCCATCTCTTGCTGTGTGCAGTAGCATCAAATTGAGTTGTCATCTGCAGAGCCAGTGGTGCCGAATTACCAGCACCTACTAAATTGTTGCTTTTCCTAATTAGCTCCAATGTGAACTCAGAGACTTGGCGTCCTAAAATGTGTGTCACTTTTATAATCCATCCCGCAGAGTAATTTAAATCGGAGGGAGCTACCTTTAGGCTGCACCGTGGCTGGAGTCATTTCCAGGCCACATTAAATGATAAGATCTGTAATAAGACTGAAATATAGCTTAGTTGATTGAGCCAGGTGAAGGAGAGAGCTCTTGTTATATTAATCCTAATGCGAAAATGATGGAAGAAAAATGAAGTCAGATAGTGAATAAATGATTAATCACACAAGTAGCGGGATGTGCGAGCAGCGCAACCGAAATTATATTGATGCATTTATACAATTATTTGCTAAATACCTCAAAGAGTGTGAATGCAAATTGAATACAGTGACTCGTGGCTACTAAGCAGGTGCACACAAGCAGAGGCAGGATTATCAGATTGAATCCAACCCAGAACTCTAAACTAATTAAAACATTCTCAGACACAAGAGCTTTATCTCCTCGTCTTTATGAGCAAGTTTGTTGTATATTTAGAGGAGATTTTGTCAATAAAGTGAGAACTTTGAGGCGTAAGAGTGAAGGCGCAGGATTATTTGCAGGAAAAAAAGGGGTTGCTATGGCGGTCCTTGAGAGCCGCGCAGTGTGGCCAACAGTTTCCTTATCCCTCTAGTTAACTGAGTAGGATGTCTGCCAAGCTCCCGAGGGAGTATGTGTGTGTGTGTGTGTGTGTGTGTGCGTGCTAATGAAAGAAAAAAGAGAGAGGAAGGAGAGCGATTCCACTGGGGTGAGATTTGCTGAATGGACAGACTGACAGCCAGAGACTTCCTGTGAGTGGCCACACCAGAGGACAGCCGGACATGCTCAGGCTTTGCACCTCAGCTGGCTGACAAATTCAATTTTCATACTATATACGTGGAGACGTGCATCTCAGCGAGAGGCCGCAGTGCTATGTAGGTCACAACTTGGTGAAGAAGTCAGGACATACTCAGGGTGTGTATGTTTGCATCTTGTACATGCTGCTGCAGTTAACAGGGTCAGTTGATGGCAGAAAAATTGAACAGATTTATATTCTCTCCCACAAAATAATTCTATGCATTATGCTAGTGACAGCAAGAAAATATTGGATACCAATAGTAAAATGAGGAAATGTTATAATAAGTCAGTAAAATGTTGACTGACCATGATCAATCGAAGCGCTGGCAGTGCTTGGTCTGGATTATAACACAGAAATGCTATTTATATTTAATCAAAACCACCGACTTTCGCCAAACGTAGAAAGGACTTTCTTTTCTTCAGTTAACCATAAACAGGACTTTGGACTTTTGGCCACCCCAGTTATGTGTTTTGTTAGCCTACTTTCTCTCCCGACCACTTCCTGCTAACTCTGATGGAACGTGTTGTTTCATTCTTTCAAAAAAGATAGAAAAAAGAACAACTTTTTCTCTAAATCTAATATATCGTGTGATTACATTTGTTAGTACATTGTAAGTGGGGAAACAGTTTAGTAGATTAACCTAATTTGGAGAACACAGAATCAATGAAAAAAAAATCACGACTTTTTGCTAAAAATATGAAGGAATCCTTTTATTTTTAACTTCTGCAAATTTCTTGTAAATTGTTCTGTTTGGCTGCTACAGTTGCTGAACACCCATTGTATGTAGACAGGAAATGATGGTGTGTTATATGTGAAGAGTTCATTGGCAAAAACAGATAACTCCATCTTCGCAAAGCTTCAGAAAACCCACTTTTCCATCGTCTACCTGAGACAACATCAATCAAACTTCAGTTATCTCTGTTTTTGTTGTGTCATTTCTACTGAGTCAAATCCGCTCAACTTCTGTTCGATTGATATTATCTCAAGCAAACAACAAAAAAATAGATTTTCTGAAAATCTACAAAAATGGAGTTATCTGTTTTTGTAAATGAACTCTTCATGTATTTCAGAGCCACATCTCAATACTTCATCTATCAGCTGAGACCATTTCAAGCAGAAGCCCAACAAGTGGCCCAAAAGCCATCTGTTAAGCAGTTTAAGCAGCTACAAATGTGTGTAGCTGTTCTTGTTGTTCAGTTACTTGCACCACTAAATTGCAGCAGCAACTCAGGTGGGTCCTGAATTCCACACTAACTGACGGGCCCCATCTTGTGGTGGGGCCCTGTGAGATATCCTGTGTTAAAATCTACTCTGTGTCTGTGTTGTCCTGATGTGGAACATGTTCCCAGAAAAAGCAGTATTTAATCCGATTACAACAATCTAAGACATGTTGACTTTGGTTTCGGCACAGAAGTTGTTGTTGTAGGCCACATATTAGTTGTAAATCTGGCCATGCTCTGGACACATGTAACCAGTTAAAAAGGATTTGCTTTAGGCAAAACATTTTAGGTTTTTTATTTTAGTCTTCTTGATTACTTATTGAGTTTACCTCTTAAGTTTTTAAACAGGAAGCCGTTGGTTCAACAAACTGTAAAATATTGTTACTTTCTAAAACTCTGTATTTCAACATTTGATTTTGTAGTTTTTGGTATAACTTATGTATTTAAGAAAAAATGTAACATAAAAAAAATAGATTATCTAAATAAATTCACTGTGAGAAAGTTCAAAACAGGCCTTTTTCTTCATGAAAGATGATTGACCCAGTGCTTAAACTGAGATTCACATAATGTAACAATAAAAATATGTTCAAATTGTAAATACAGTGGATGTGTGAAGTAATTGATCCAGAGCGAGTTTAAAAAGCAGATGTATTTCTGTTAGAGGGCTAAATTTATGTAATTATAAAATAATCAATGAAAAGATTGAAATAATATTGTTCATCGTGGTACTTCGTGTCTTTATTTGACATGATTTTACATGAATTTTGACTGTAATTTACAACAGCATTTGACGCTTTTCAGTTTTCTGTGTACATACTAGCTCATTTATCTGTGCTTTATAACCTTATAAGAGGAGAGAAGTTACCAGCAGCATCTGTTACTTTTTGATCATATGTCCAAATTGGATACGCTGTGTCGGAAGAATTACCAAATAAATGCTTCTACTTTTATTTTTTTATTTAATCAGGAAAGCAAGGGACTAAATGAATTTTTCACTTCCAGCTTGACTGCAGTCAGGTTGATTTTTCTTTTAATCGGACAGTGAACACATCCCACACACACCTCTCTGAGTGTCCCTGAGGTGGCTTGTTAGTGTTACTTTTTGAGAATAAAAGGACAATTTCAAATGTCAGCGTAACCCTTAAATAGCTTCTATGCAGCATTTCAGCTGAGTCACATGAGTTTCCAGAGCGATCATTTGCTGCTGCCCCACGCTGCCGGCCACAAGACCATCCTAATCAGCAGCAGAACCAGCCTGACTCAACAACATGAGATGTATAAAGTGATATCGCCCTGTTTGGCAACAAGAGTGACAACTTCTAGTGTTAGTTAATGGAAACTACAAAAAAGCAAATTTATTGAAGTATGACTTATATATTTAAAATGTATTTTATTTCTATTTTATTTTTTACTTTGACTCAATTTATAGCTTTGCTTATGATTTTTGTTTATTTAAAATAAATTAAAAAGATAACTCTTGTGCTCTTTTTAAGTTCCATTACTCTCTGCCTCTGACAAAGATTAATTCTTACTCTTTAAAAAAATAAAAAGGTGCAATTAATTACTGAAATGTTAGAATAGATTATTTTCTCTCTACAGAGGTTGGGTCATGATTCCAGCTAAGTTTGAAAAGAAGAAACTGAAGCACAAACAAATTCCAATCTGATCAAATCAGTGTAATCAAAGTCAAATAAAGCTGACCTTTATCTTCACACCGTTGCAGTAAACAGGCAGTAGAAAGGCAGTAAACGGTTTAATTTGCAGTAATTCCCTACCTGTCAGCTGATTCCAGGGCTGCAGGTAGTGCAGAAAACCCTCTGCTCTCCAAATAAAGGCTGACGGCCGCCCTGCGGGAAGAAAGCAAATGTCAAAGTAATTAATTTGTTTTCCTTTAAGAGTAATAATAAAGGGCCAATGGTGTGTGTTACACAGGATGGACTGTGACTCCTCACACCCACGTACACACACACACACACACACACTCACACATATACAGACATTGTATTGTTTTTAATTCAGTGTAATAAATCACTTAAAAGGTGTCAGCAATTGCACATAGGCATTGGACGTCGGGTATTTTGCATGTGTGTGTGAGCTTACAGCTGTATATACATTCACCTTGTGTGTGTGTGTGTGTGTGTGTGTGTGTGTTGTCCCTGTAGCGTGCCTGTGCAGCCTCCCTATTGACTGCGTCTCTCTCAGGCGGTGAGGCAGTGATGAGGTCCGTTCTGCGTTGATAATAAGCTCATTAATCATGCAGCTATACGGCCTGCAGCTTCCCAGCTATGATTATCAACATTGATTGGCTCGGGGAGAAAGCAGTCGCTGCCTCTGGACCAATGGAGGCAGAGGTTGTTGGGGTGTAACAGCCAAGCAGACAACTATCGATTTGAGCATGAGGGGAGACTAAATGGAATCCAAATGTTTTTCCTTTGAGATGAGACAGTTATCAGGGCGTTGGGGATGCCAGGAGGAGACAAGTCTCCACAGGATGGACTCAGTTTTGGGTTCATTCAGGATATTTTAAACTGATGGTGCATTTTTCTTTAAATATAAATTTCAATGTTTTTCGGGGGGAAGGGGCCAGAGTTGTGCACCTTACTTGAGGTTTATTTACCTTAAAATGTCTTAATTATTTGTGTTCTCTGTAAATACTGATGTAAGTGTGTATGTGTATGTTTTGTGTTGGGTTGTGGAGTTTTGCATTCAGTTTATGCAATAGAAGTAAATGATAAAAATATCAAATAAAAATGTTTTCACACTATTTAGTCATTAGTAATAATCATTAATCAATTTTTGAGCACATTATAAAATGACAGCTTGCTATTGTTGTGCTCTATAGCAAAATATACAATATATTTGGAAATAAGCTGCAGTGACTCAAGAACTAATGCATAATTACAGAAACTGAAACCAGCCTTAACCTGCCAGCATCAACAGTCTGAATACAATATTCACTTAAATCAAAGGCAAAATAACTGTTAGTCAAATGCACAAGCTTTGAACATAGTTGCCCATTAGTCTTGATTTTTATATATTGTGCTTCAATTTGGCCTCCAAATTTGAAGGAATAAGCCCAGTGTTGTATATTTTCAGTTTAACAGCCAGTGATGTGTTCTGCTGCTCTCACTCATGCAAAGATCATCTGACTGATTCAAACCCAAACAGGACATTGTTTTTATTTTTTTTAAAACAAAAAAAATAAAATAAAAATAAAAAAAAATACCCAAGGAACAGTTTACACAGCTTACAGGTTATTGGCAATCCCTGTCAGGTTTATGTATAATGTAATACCTCACAAACTTTCTATAACATTAAAATGCATTTTAGTGGCCAGTTCACCTCATTTGCAAGCCAAATCTTTATTCTTATATAAGTAAAAGTCACACAGACACATACACATAATGACACCACATATACAGCACTTTGAGATGCATTATGTTCACATGTATCTTTGTTGCCGTCATGCTCAATGCTGTACTTTGTGTTACAACAGTCCCTCATCTCCTGCACAAGAAAGGAGGATATAGAATTAGGGCAGCCTAAAAAAGAGATTGGAATAGAAAGATGAGTACAGAGGCTCCAGGGTCTGGTCAAAATTACCTCAGTCTGCTCCTCAAATGAAAGCAAATGTGTCCTCACAGCTCTGCTAGAAGCATCAGGCAGAGGCTGCTCACTGACACACACGAGGCTTTGAATAGAACACTGCATTAGCTTTCCACTGCATCACTTTGAAGAGACACGAGCATCTGAGTATTGACTAACAAACTAGTTACCACTCGATTCTGGGAATCATACACATTCTTGTATGAAGAATAGCTGAAAAGATTGATTTCTGTCTCTCTTTTTTTGTGAGGTGATTCAAACAGTGTGAGAATCTACGGATCTCAACAGAAATGATTCAAGTCTTTAGAAAAGTGACAAACAAGGACCTGTATGTCATCTAAAGCCCCCGAGTGCCTTTTCAAAGCTTACTGATTTCAAGTTTCTGCTGGGATCAAGAGGCTTTTCAGACAGCCGTTTATTCCGATGTTCTCGATGGAGGCTGCACCTGGTTCACCTCGCCTCACCCTCCAGCCTCCCACCGAGACACACGACTCCACCAAACGGGGCCAAAAACAGCAGAGAAAGGCGGAATTAAAGAGACAGAGAACAAGTCGAGGACTCGCTAAGACCACACACATAAATCCTCTCTCTTTCTCACAAGCCTGTGCGCACACACACACAGCCTCCGATAAAACCCACTAGCAAACTCTGTCACTCAATTAATGTCTCGTTTTATCTGGTTTTAACATACCTGCCATCCTCAGCTGGAATTAAAGCCTCACCTTTTTCTCCTTCTCCCCTGCACACACACTTTTTTTTCTCTCTCTAAGTAGCTACACACAGTGTGTGGGATTAGGCACTGTGGTAATAACTTCCATATTGAAAAATGCAAGATTGGGCTTCCTCATGTTCACAAAGACTTTAGCTCTTATAAATAGAATTGCCTTACACTTCGCATATGCCTCCAGACTGAACCCATGTCTGTCTTTTATAGTTTTATTTCCAGTTTTATCATGGTTAAACACCAGCCTGCTGTTTATATTTGTAGTTTTTTTTTTTTTTTTTTTTTTTTTCCTTAGGATTGGATGATGCCAAGCGGGACTAATGCCACGAACTGTCTTGTACAGTGTTTTCCACAGTGTTTTGCAGTTCAAATGGCGGATTGGAAAGTGCTGACATTCCGGTGGCAGATATTGCTCTCTTGCCCGCCAGCGCCCTAAATCCCCTGTTGCGAGGAGTGTGGTGTGAAATCCATTTACCACAGATTCCTGCAGAAAGCTTGTCATCTCATTGAAAAGATCCCCCTGAAATGTGGAAGAAGCCTTTACTGTAGATTTTTTATTTAAAGAAAAAACAAAAAGCAGGATACTCTTCTTCTGCCATATTTCACTCCCTCTTTGTCTATCAGTCTGTCTTTTTGTTTCTCGTTCAATTTCCTGCAGAAAAAAGCAATGTCTCTTGGTAGTAAACAAAGATGGCTGCTCCAGCTCTGTCACAGTGGGCTAAATCTTTCATAAAAGACATCAGGAGACTGTATACAGTCCTGGTCCCTGAGGCATGGGAGCGCTAACAGGCGTAAGTGAGGGTATATGATTTCTTTTATTTCAGCGCAAGGAGCTGCTGTTGCACTCATGCCCTAACAATGCACCCAACATTTAACCTATGACTGATCTGAAACAAAAAACACACACTGGTGCATTAATCATGTTTGTCCCAGGTTGGTACTCTGCTGTGATTGTGAATGTTCCCGCATTGTTCAGGCTGAAAAATTCCGCCATATGGAGGCAAAATGCTGCTTTTACTCAGAATCCATATGCATCAAGCCATCCTTTTTACCGCCCACAGCAGACGCTCCGGCTCTGGTTTCCGAATACAAAACTGGAACAGAAAAAAAATTGATCGCTGGAGAACTGTACATTCAGTCTAATGACTCATGTCGTGTCTCTACAAGAATTCCAGCAACAGTCGAGTCATATTGCCTCAGGATGGTCTCAAAGCGAGCTGATGTGCTCTCTAGAGTCAATATCACCTCTTTTGTCTGAGGAGAAACAAAGGTCTCATACAGCTGCTCTTGAAAGCGATGTTATCATTAGTGTATTTAATAACGTCAGTGCAAAAGAGGACAGAAATCCTCTTTTTAATCAGAAACACAGATGAAAATGTAATTTAAACAAAAGCACTGTTTGATCATAGTAGTAGTCTCCAGCATCAGCATGTAGTCTAGTTTAAACCAATCAGAAGTGGTCCTGATGAGAGAGAAAGAGAGAGAGAGAGAGAGAGAGAGAGAGAGAGAGAGAGAGTGTGTGTGTGTGTGTGTGTGTGTGTGTGTGTCCTGCCTTCGCTCTCCAGAGCTATTTCAGGTCTGGATGCCTTTGTGTGCAGCTATATGTCAAACAAAGGGCCGCTATGCCTGCCTGCCTGCTGTCCATACGCCTGGGCTGGGGGGAGGGAGGACAGAGATGTGCTCTGTGTGTGTGTGTGTGTGTGTGTGTGTGTGTGTGTGTGTCTTTTGGTTTGGAGTGGAGGGGGTGTGCTGTCTGTAGGGAGCAACCAGGCGTGTGAAAATACTCCACACTGACTCTCTCTTTCCTCCTCCTCCTGACGCCTTTGTGCTGTTTCTTTCATTCCTCTGTCCTTTTCCTTCATTTTCATATGTGTTTGCTTTATCTCCACAACCCTTTACCCTTCACCCTCTGATCTTTCCAATTTTTCTGACGCCCCCCCCTCCTTCCCCACTCTCTATTCTTGTCTGTCCTCAGATGTCATGCAGCTAATATTAGCCTGCAACAAATTATAATGGAAAGTTTACCGCCCATTACAGCTCCTTTGGTGAGAGACAATCTTTGATATGGAAATGCTGCCGCCACAGTGTAGGATGCATACATATGCGCTACATTTGGTTGTGCATGTGTGTGCTTTTTCCCTGTGTGTGAGAGAGACAAGCGTGGGAAGACAATGAAAAATGGAAGGTGTAACCTCAGGGAACCCTGTCGTAAACCGTTTCGACAAATTGGGACTGAGGGTACGTTATCTCAGAGGGTTTGTCACAGCTCACAGCCAATATACACACACATCAAACTGACACATGACAAATGGTAGGTGTGGATGATGGAGTTACTATGAGCCAATAATCTCTTTAATGTATTCAATCCTGCTTAGGCATACAAAGTATCTAAGTGCTTAAAGTAGAGAAAGGTTAGCGGGCGCTAACAGTAAAGCAGGCAATAGTGAACAAAGAAAAATGAGAGTACAGTTAACATCCATCAGTTTGATAGTTGGGACTCTAATATCTCCGAGCACA